TGGGATCCGAACCCTCGGCAGGAGCGCCGCCACACTCCCAAGTGGCGCACTCTCCAGTGCGTCACCAGGCCGGCCCCATATAGCCTTTTTTATGTATAAGTTTTTCCACCTATTTTCCTTAGAGTTTTATTTAAATTAGAAATCATGAGAATTTAATCAAATATCTATTGGTTATACATTGATTTGGTTATATTGTTTTTCTCTGTTAATTTTTTTAAATTACTACATATATTTCCTGATTGATACACCTACGCTTTCCTGGAATATGCACTGTTTGGTCATAGCATATCATTCTTTTGGTTTACTGTTGGTTTCTCATTGATAAAATTGTGTATAGAATTTTTCACCTGTATTTACACTAGAATTTCTTTGTTGTTATTCATCTTTATCATGGTTTGGTATAGAAATTTTGCTGAATTCATAAAGTAAATTGCACAGCCTTTTAACTTTTTATTTTACTCAAAACACGTTCATGAGTATTTACATAAGCTGGTCTTAAACATGAAATAAAATTAGCTGTGAACTTATCTGGTTCTGGTGTCTTTTTAAATAGACCATTAAGCAACTTCCCGATCACTTTAATGCTAAGTAATCTATCAATTTTTCTTTCAGTTTAAAGTTCTTTTATGAGCCCTTTATATCTTGGGACATAATCAACTACTTCCTCCATGATTTTAAATGTACTGATAATCCTATACCTATATCCAAAATATATCATATAAAAAATTACTCTGTCAATAGCAATTTGTTTAAATATTTGATGTCTACAGAAATATGTTACATATTATGAGAGAATTAGTACTCAATTATGTATCTTAACAGAAATATTGGTTCATCTGAATGGTGACTGAATTCATATAATTCCGGCATACTTTTCATTTTCAATCCTTTATGAATATGTTTAATGCTTAAAGAATTTACTTCAAAATATTTGCAATATGAACCAGAAAATGGCAGTTTTCTCATTCTTTCTTCATGCTCGTGGCTTCTCTGAAATTGAACTTTATGAATATGTTTAATGCTTAAAGAATTTACTTCAAAATATTTGCAATATGAACCAGAAAGTGGCAGTTTTCTCATTCTTTCTTCATGCTCGTGGCTTCTCTGAAATTGAACCAATATAGAAAAAGGTCAATAAAGTTATGTGAATGAGTCAATGAACAAATACACGCATCAATGCTGCAAGTAGTCCAGAGAATTTTCCTGGTGAATGATGTTTACAAAACAAATCTTGAATGTGCACTACCTACATAATATGGCTTAAATGAATAATAGTTAACTCAGGCAAACAAATTTTTGTCAGTTCTAGTTTAAGATGAGTTAACCAATGTCCCTTCTGTTTTATAAATGAAAACTCCAGATGATTGTTGCATAAGATGTTATAGTTTCACACATATCATGGGGCAACTAATAGCAAAGAGAACATATTAATCAACACTTCCTGAAGCTGATGCACTATCTGTTTGAATATTAGAGAAGAGCCTTATATGGTGAAATCAGCTTAAATTTGGTAAACAGATTATTGCCAAGATAACCAAAAACCAAATGATCAATCTGAAGACAAAAAAAACAAACAAACGTGGATTTCTTGGAATTGGATTATTAATCAAACTCACAAAATACAATGAAACTTAAATAGCACCAAATTTACTCACCATTAAGAAAAGACACAAAATAGACAAAACACCACCATGCGAACAGCAGCATCAAAAGGACCTCAGAAAATTAGACATTGCTTGTGATACCTTCTAATGGGAATGAATTTTAGTTGTGAGACTGGCATAGGCTGACATGAGTGTGATATCACTGCAAGGAAGCCCAAAGATCTGGAAATCATCCGCTAAATATCTTGCTAGCTTTGTAGCCCCTGTAAGGGTAAAAGATTCACTCTAGAAATTCAAAATAATAGAATAAATATTTCTGACTGCCATGTACAATTGGCTAGGCAGCTTCTTAGAATAATAATCAGTAGATAGCAGTCAATGCAATAAATCTGCCTTCCTTTTCAGTCGACGTTGCTAAAAGTTTGAGTAAGGGTTAAATGTTTGGGCAGTATGAATAATATACAGTCCAGATGTTAACCTTTGAATGAAGTGAATGAAAAAAACACAAACAGAATTTACATTGAGCAGATCCAGTTAACATATAGACCAAACCTAATTTACAAAAAGGAGTGCAATATAATGCAGTGATACCCCACACAGATGCCATTGCAGTTTTCCTTCCTTAAACTTTCTCCTCACTCACCACTACCATTGCTGTCACAGCCTGGGAATTGTCATGCCTATTTTGCCTATAACCACACTCACTTTTTATGCTCTAATATTACTGGTGCATATTTAGAGATTAACAATCAGAATAAATAATACTTACTGGGAGTAATACAGCAAATGTCTTCATTTTAGCAAACTCTAAAATTAGGAAATTAAGTAATTTGTTCAAAGGTATATAGTAATCTTTATGCTCATTTGACGTAGGTTTATCCAAAACTCATATCATCATTCTGGCCATTGAACCCAAAGAACATCAAAACATAACCTTTGGATTATAATACTAATTATATGTACTATTTATATATTTATAGATTTTCTTCTAACCAATTCATATACTTATTTTTTATTCTAATGCCGAGTTTTAAATACAATGGTGACGCCATGAACGATAGAGCTCCGTGGATTCCATCCTCCATATGGTCATGAGCAACTTTAACTCCAACATTTTATTTATAGATTTTCTTCTAACCAATTCATATACTTATTTTTTATTCTAATGCCGAGTTTTAAGTACAATGGTGACGCCATGAACGATACAGCTCCGTGGATTCCATCCTCCATATGGTCATGAGCAACTTTAACTCCAACATTTTGAAGTCGTGTGACATACATAAGTGCATCGTCTCTCAGGACATCATGTTCACAGGTGACGATATAAGTTAATGGCAAATTTTGCAACTGGGAATCATCAACTAACAAAGGTGATATCCTAGAATCCATAAGTTCCGGATACGAAGAGTTAAGGTTTCCAAGGATTGGTTCAGTATAAACATGGTTCTTTCTATATTTCTCAGGAAGGAGGATACTCCAGTTAACAAACTTGAACAGATGTCTTGATCCCTGAGGCATATGTTGGTTTTTTTTCATTGCCTGGGGCAGATCTTGATCTTTAGTCAAATATAGGCATCCAAATTTAATCGTCATATCCCTTGACAAAATCGGACCACGTTCATATTCTTGGTGAGACGGCACGAAGGTATCAGCTCCCTGTAAGCCAGGGTAAATTAAAGCTTGTGCCTTAATTTTATTTTTGAATTCTGGATCATTCCGTAGCTAAAAATATATATAATAAAATGTGAATGAGTCAATGGCCTTCAAACTAAGGAGTGAGAGTCCTTACTTCAATCACATAAGTAGTTATGAGAGAAATAAAGTTATAAAACTGGCACAGTACCTAATGATTACTCTTATAATACTTATAAATTATATTAGGAACATGAAAATGTGTCATTTCACTTTCATTAGTAATCACACACATTTATTCACATATAACTGCCAAGTAGAAATATAATGAGATTTCTAGGGAAGATGGCAAATTATGTATGTTTAAAAATCATTTTTTGACCTAAAGTAACCTGAGAGAAAAGAATAAGTATAATAATAAAATACCAATGCTCAAACTCATGTATTAACCAAATTTAAAAGGAAATGTACCAAAAGAAATATTTCTACTAAGCAATTCACCTTCAGGACAAAATAGTGTAGTGTGGTGGAAAGTAAGGAGAGTAATTTATAAAAAGTTGAAGAGCAGGAAAAGATATGGAAGAGTGTATTTGCAGCCTCTCTTTCTTAACAGAGATGTGAAGCATACCGAGGGCTCAGTTATGGGGTGAGAAGAACCACCGTACGTTTCCCTCTCCTTTTCTTTTATAATCCTACATACTATAGCAGAGAACATAGAATTAACCTCCCAGGAGCAATTGCCCAAGCTACAAGCCAGCTTCTGCAACAACAACATCTGGACAAATGGGTATATTTGCTGCCATTGCACATAAAAGTTTGGAATCTGGAGGGTGCTTCTCAAAGTCAAACCCTCAGTCAAGTAGCTCACTTAGACCAAATGAGATAATTTCATTAAAATCTCAGTAGCACACCATAATTGCAAATTATATTTGACAAACTCCAAAATGCACAATGTACAGTAGGTCCCACAAATTCAAAAATAAAATGAGGAAAGATAAAGTTCTCTAACAGAATCTCTCCCAAGCCCTTGATTCTTCACCAGTACTCTCAGACAGATAATCTACTAAACAAACTGGATCATCTCATAAGTGGAACGGAAGAAACAACAGTGAGTACAGAAACAAAAATTAGGCAGAGAGATTCAACTGATGTCTTCTCAGGCTGGTAGCAGAAGTGATCTCAAAAGATAAGTTAGCAGACTGCTGGTTCTAGAGGCATACAGAGACAGGCATTAAATCTTTTTCCTTTCCAAGTTACATTGAAATATAGAAGAAACTTAGAAGTTAAGTGAAGTCCATAGAAGTTTTGGGAATAAAAAGCAAGAACTATGGCTTTCTCAGTAGGAGTTGCACAACTCCTCAAGCTTTAAATAAAAAGAAACAAGAAGCAGCACCAGGAGATGAAGATGTTAGCTTAAAGAGAAAGGATAACAGGGAGAACGCATGGGCAAGATGAAGGTGGCATGTGTCACTACCACTATATGTTATGTTTTGAGCCACTGGTGTCCCTTCCTCTGCCAATGCCACCATGCTGAAGCCACTATACTTAGATGATAAGAATATCTTTCCTTCTCTCTAAACACTCAGTAAAATCACCTTCCTTTATTATAAGCCCCAGAGCAGTGCTTCCTAATGTCCTAAGAGGCTCTTATAAGCCATATGCCAAATCCCTCAGAGATGCTCTGATGGCCTGGACCTTCCATTAGGGGTCTTTCTTCACTTGAGGGGACATTTATAGGAGGCTTTACAATGCCTGAATTACCTGGGACTTTGGCACCCTTAGGAGCAGAAATGAAAGTCCCATCATGGGACAAGTCAGACAGATTGCAAGCTCTAAACCTAACCTGAAGAACGTGATAATCTCCAGGGTGTTAGAAGGGGAAAATGGTCACCAAAACCTCTGCTATTTCAAGAACTTTTCACATCTGAATTCCTTTGATGAGGTCACGTCTGTGCTTTGTAGGAAGGCTGTAGCTAACAACAAAAAGCCACTTTGTGGGTGTTAAACTCTTTACAAACACAGAGATCCCTCTGCCCAACACCAGACCTGGTGTCAGAACCTTGGAAGTAAAGAACTTCAGTTGCCTAAGGATGGTTAACCCCCATCTCCTTGACTAAAATATTTTCTGAACTTGGGAAGCAAGAACAGAATAAATAGTGTCTACAATGATTCGAGTTATTTCTAGATTGTTTTTCTAGGAGGCAGGGGTAGAGCTTCAGTGTTCTCTCCAGAGAAATGGAGTGGTAGAGGTGGCAACAGTCAAGCCAGGGCATGCTTGTGACACTGATGGTGGCTGGCAAAGTAGGATCCAAGGCTCAGGAACCACCACATGGAAGACGGCAGGGAGAGGGCCCACTGCAGGGTAGGAGCAGTGCTGGCTTCGGGACCCCCGGGCTGCTACAGAATGGTAGCTGAGCTGAGTTCTCTAGGTAGTTTTTTTAAAAAAAAAAACTCCATTATATGTCCTTAATATTCTTCTCTGGCATGCCAAATAATTTGCCATAATCTCCTTTTCTAATGTGCCAATTTATTTTGTCCAAATGCTTCAATCTTAATATCCCTAAGGCCTCGCTTATGTCACCTGCTGACCCAGCACCCAATGTTCTTCCCTATTCCTCTGGCTTCTTTCAAGACTCAAGCCAGATTCAATCTTCCTCAATAAACTGGTAAAGAACAAGCTCTCAAATCATCCAAAGTTGGCAGCTTCACACCAGCCACAGCCACCATGTTATCAGTCTGGCATAAATCTTTTTATGTATTTTAGTACATATTTAAATTTTACCCATAAACATGTATATGTATGATTGTACTTATAAGTACCTGATCAAAATAATCACTTCCCTTTCTAAACTCACAGATCAATTCATCTCAGTCTTTTTCAGGCCAATTTTAATTTCTGTCTTAAAAGTATATGTAGTGTTATGCCTTAAAACTATATGCAGTGTTATGTCCAAGGTAGTACCTCTTATTCTTTCCAATAGATTTTGAATTCCATTAATCCGGACACTATGCCTGATTCATTGTAATGTCTATCTGTCCACTGTCCTTCTATTTTCCCCACTATCTATATGGGAAATATATTAATTTTATGTGTTATATATTTATTAATATTTATATTATATTTTCTATAATTTATTAGTATTACATAGCATATATATTACATATGGAAAATACATATTACATAACTTATAATAAATATAATGAGAAAAATGGAAGGATGGATGAATTAATATTGTTATTCAGCTTTCTATTCTTTAAACAGGATAACAGGACACTGTCCTGTAACCAGAAAACAATATTGAAAAAGTAGTATCAGGCATATGGCAAGTAGGTTCCTCCGGTAACCCTTTAACCCTTGATTACTGAGGAATGTATGGCTTCATTCACTTATCCTAGTGCCATATGAACTCAAAGAGGACAGGCTGATCAGAACATATGGGAAGAAAGAAGCAGTGGTGGACCACACAGTACTGAAGGGAGAACGGAGAGTGTTGAAAGTGGGCATGGACATCAAACGAATGGGATGTGTTTCTTGCCTCATGCACAACCAGGATGTGTCTGAGTGATTTGGAAATGATTTATTGAACTAGGGATGTGATTACTTTGGAAACAAATAGAAACCAAAATACAAGGTCAAAAAGGTCAAGAAATCAGATCCAGCATGTCATAATCTTACTCTTGCTGTTTGGGAGAAAACTGAAACTGTACAATTCATTATTTTGTCTCTATAATTAGGACCTTTTAGCAACTCAGGAAATAAGACCTAGGGCTGCATTCAAGACAACCTGTCCTTACTCAGAAAGTTCCCAAAGCACTCCAGTTACAACACATGAATATTATGCAATTCAACTTTAATATAAATGAATCACTGTGCTCCTCCCTATTGAACCAACCCAATTTTAGTCTCTAACTCTTTGTATTAGTTGTTAATCATACTTTCTAGATTAGTGTGATCAAAAAACTGGTTTACTAACACTAAAGTAAAGCTTAATACCCCCCCACCCCCATAGAGTTGGCTTCCAGTGCATGTGCCAAGTGTAGTCACCCAGTCACCCAAGACCTCCTGCTTTCAGAAGAACCCCATGCTTCATTAAGAGCTTAGCAGTCACAATCTGGAAATTCTTAATAATTTCGTCTTTTAACTTGTGCTTCAGAATTAAAGTCTGATAAGACAATGAATCATGCACATGAGCAGAAGAGATAGCATATGTTTTTCTACCCTGTTTGCATATAAAATTCCCAATTGATAAGTGTTTTGCACAACATACTTTACTTTTATTCTCTTTGAATCTTTCCTAACTCCCATGCATCATGGACTACGGAATCTGTGCCCATACTCCCTATCACCATGTCTGTTGCTAAATAAGCACAGGTGTTGATAGCCTCAAGGGGCCTAGAATTTCACTGCAACCAGAACTCACTTTATATATTTTTTTCTTTTTGTTTGTTTTTAAAGTCAGAACTGACTTTAAATACAGAAGAAATGAGAACAACCAATAAATTCCATCATATCCTTTCTTACTCATGTTCCCTGTATGAGCCAACCACTTACAATGAAAATGATTACATAGAAAGAAAGATAAAGATGAGGAAAATCACAGTTCTTTTTATTTTCAATCCTTTCTTATTCATCAGTAAGCTGAATGTAGAGAGTGTTAGTAGAATGTTCGCATATCTAAACTGAAATAAACAATTTTATATGTATTTCCATTCGTCTGTAAGAACAAAATACACATGCGTGTATAAGCTACAAAACGCCAGTGATTCTGCATATGAGTTAAATGTGCTTGTATTTGCATTTTAAACTGGCATCACATAAGTATGAGCTGTGAAATTCATAATAATAAATTGAAATTATATATATCTGTACCTAGATGGTAATTACCTCTATTATGCTTTACAAGTTAAAAAAAAGATTAATAAAGGAAAAAGCTTCATGTATTAATACCTTTTTTAAAAAGCAACTTTTCTTGCTTTTTATAGAAGGGACCCTGCATTTTCATTTGGCACTGGCCTCACTAGTAATTTGTCCAGCTCCCCAGTATCTGAGATTGAAAGCAGCTTTTAGGGCCAGGTTAAGACAGGCCTTC